AGGCGGCCCGAGCCTCGGGGAACCCTAACCCGCCCGCTCTGGGCGAGGGGCCGCGGTCAGTGCCACCATCGTGCGTCCCGGGAGGCGGAGGGGCCCCGGAGCGGAGCCAGGCTGGGGCGGCGGCCGAGCCTGCGGAGCTCATCCGGCGGGCGCACGAGTTTAAGAGCCAAGGTGCGCAGTGCTACAAGGACAAGAAATTCCGCGAAGCCATCGGCAAATACCACCGGGCGTTGCTGGAGCTGAAGGGGCTGCTGCCGCCTCCAGGGGAGCGGGAACGGGACGCGCGGCCAGCTTCCCCGGCCGGAGTCCCCAAACCCAGCCATCTCTCAGAGGAACAGAGCAAGACGATTGAAGCCATCGAGATCGACTGCTACAACAGCCTGGCAGGTGAGCCGCGCCCCGCCGCGCCCCCTGCCCCTCCTTCCCTCCCCCATCCCCCGACCTCTAGGGGCCCCGCCCGGCCTCGCGTCGGTCCCCTGCACCGCCGACCTAGTCCCTCTGGGTCCCAGAGCGCCAGTGAGGCACACCGCGGCGCTGACTCCCTCCTGTGACAGTGGTGCTCCAGGGAGGAGACCTGGGAGGGAGGCGCTTGAGAAAAAGTGTGACTTTCAAGACGATGCCTTCCTAAGGCCATAGTCATCTCGAGTCTCTTCCCTTGTATACATGGTTAATCTTACCCTTAAAAGGTTGGACAGACAGAGGGCGACCCAGCGGGGTCTGGCAGCGACAGCTACTGCTCACCAGTGAACCTGGGTTCAAAATATAGAGGGCAGCGCCCAGGTGTGTCCCACAGGCCATGGGTTCTATGGGCAGTCAATGCACCTGTCTGCCCCAAAGTTGACCTATGCCTTCTCTTCTGTATGCACCGGTGGGAATCGGCCGTTCCCCAAGTTGACTTGCCCTAGTAGCAAAGGGGATTTTTTTTTCAGGATGTCCTTAACAGCCTGAGCAAAATGGATTCCAAAAATGCCACTTTCTTCTCTCTGGGTCTTGCTGGTTGCTCCAGGTTGCCAATTCGTGGTAGGTAGGTTTCTAGCCCTGCTGAATTCTTGCTCTTCTTCATGAGGTTTATCTGTTGAACGAAAGGTGTACATTTTACAGTGTACTTTAGGGATGAGGCATATATATATGTATATATGTGGTATAAAATCTTTACAGTCCGTTAAAAAGGAGAACTCTGGATCTTTCAAAGGACTTACTGTGAAATGTGGGAAACCGTAGCATGAGCAACTGCCTTACAGTGACAAAACCACTCTCCTCTTGTCCAACCCTGTGTGTTGGGATTTGACATAGTCAAACTTCCCTCGTAGAATAGAAGGACATTCGTTTCTAACCTTAGAAGTTGTCTGAACTAACTGTGGACCTGTTCCAGCAAGGAGGAGAGGGACGACCGGTGGATGTGTCTGGAGGCTGGAAATGCTCCAACCAGGCTCTATTCAGAAGTGTAGACCTACTGTGTTCCCTTTGAGCACCAGCCTCCCTCTGCCTTTACATTACTCTACGTTTGAGGTCATCTTTAGGTAAACGTGCTACCGCTGTGCTACCATGGTCCTACAAGGGACCTTCTTTAGTAGGGTGAAACTGAGCCTGGGGAGAGACTTTACACGTTGTGAAGTAGCTTGCGAAGGTAAAGAATTAATACCAAGAGGGCCAGTGGTGCAGTTACAGAAATGGTGATATTGGTCCCAGTATTACAAATAATGGCACCAGAGAAAATCGTGGTGCTGAAAGATGGAATTAAGTGAGTCCGTAAAAGGACACTTGATTCCTCTGTTTCCTGTAAGCGTCTGGCATACTGGCTGCTGCCCTGGTGAACAAAGGGCAGAGCGGCTGTGAGCCCAGGCGAGGCACTCTGGATGGCTAATGCAGTGATTTTGGAGTGCTAATGGAGCCTGCCTCCAGTATTAGCCACAGGCGTTCCAGAACCACATTCACCCCACGCTTCTGGCTACCAGCCAGTAAGTAGCACTGCCTGCCCTCCACCCCACAAATGGCTACATTTCCATGGTGAAGCTCAAGTGTGTCCTTGGTCAGGCCAGGCTAGTCAGGGCAGGGCTGAGGTCTGGTCAGCCCTTCTGTCCCCACCACCCAAACACTTTGGAAAACTTCCCTGGTGACAGAATGGAAAGAGATCCTAGCAGACTTTCCCTCAGCTGCCTTCTCTGGGACCCATCCCTTATTAATATTAATAACTTAGTATGTGTACTACTAGGTACCTACATACACTTTTTGAGACAGGGTTCACTATGTAGCCCTGGCTGGCCTGGAACTATACGTGTAGATCAGGCTGGCCTTGAATTCAGAGGTCCTCTTGTCTCAGAGTGCTGAGATTAAAGGCATACAGCACCACACACACACACACACACACACACACACACCTGGAAGAAATATAGCCATTTGCCTTACAGAAGGGTATCCCGAGGCTCCAGAGCCATCCATCTCCAAAAACAATGCCTTTGCCATCACAACTTGATGTAGAAAGCCAATATCTTCCAGACTTCTCCTGTTACCTGGTACCCAGACTCTGGGGGACTCTCAGAGCCCACATTTCAAAATTCTTTGGGGAGCCTTCAGTCCTGGTAATCAGGAAAGAACATACAGGACCTTGATTCAAGGCTCCGAGAGTACCGCCTGGTGTCTACCGCCTGATGCCTTCAGATCTCACATAATCATGGGAGTGATGACAAGATGGACGGCTTTGTCGAAGTCTACACCATGTGTGGAACATTCATCACCTGGCAGGAAGGCTCGGCACAGAAATCACTTTGACGAGAAGCTTGACATTGCTCTCTTCAGGTTGGCACATAAAATCACATAAAATCCCAGTCTCTCAGAAGTTCCAGCTAGTAGCAAACAATCCTTTCTCGTGGGATCATCAAAATAGTAGATACCAATATAGATATTTTCTTCTGGAAAAGAGCAAAACATTGAAAGAACTTCAGAATGGCCTCTAAATCCACCTCTTGAAGAAATCTGTGTTTAGCTGGGTGGCGTACATCTTTAATCCCAGCACTTGGGAGGTAGAGGCAGGTGGATCTCTGAGTTTGAGGCCAGCTTGGTCTATAGAGTGAGTTCTAGGACAGCCAGAGCTACACAGAGAAACAGTGCTTCAAAAAAACAAAAAAAGAAATCCATGTTGAATGTGTGCATGTGTGTGTGTGTATGTGCACACTAACGTGTGTATGTTTACAAAGCAAGACTTCTTGTCCTTCCGTGTATACAGTAACATATTCTGCTCTTAACCCCACTTACCGTTGTGTTAGAAGCATTTATACACTTCATTAAAATATTTTCATGAAGATTATTGTAAACATAAAATAAAAAATTTAAGTGTGTATTCTCAGTTATCATTGAATAGAAAGGAAAGAAGAAAGACTCGTATTGTTTTGCTAGGGCTAGCACAGTGCAGGCTGTCCCGTGAGATAGCTTTTACCCCGAGCCCTGGCTAACAGGAAGGAGGGAGGCAAGAGCAGGTTCGTTCTGGCAGAAAAGCAGCTGACCCTTCCTTCCATCGGGGTTCTGGTGGCCCCTGGACAACCTGATGAAGCGGATCTTAAGGCTCTGTCCTTCACATAGAACCATATGTAGAGATAGAGGCTTGGCATTGGGAAGGAACTTAGAATAGCCCAGAAACACCTAGAGAATTAGAATGTGTTGCTAAGGGCTGCTTTCTCCAAACAAGCGGCTGTGATGAGGCATCTGGAGAAAACTTAAGCTCACGAACCCTCATGCCCTCTCTACAGAACCCTCAAGAATAGCAAGGGAGATGGTAGGGTGCAGTGAGAGGTGCTAGTCTAACACCCATTCGAATGTCCCTGGAAGCCCAAGAAGGCTGTGCAGACGGTCTGCAAATGGCCCCAGGTTATTGCCTGTTCTTACTCAGATTTCATTTTGTACGGGAGGACACTGGCTAGCTGTGCAAGGCTAGAGTTTTGCATTCCTTGTTCTCTGGGAAATTCAAGGGAACGGTATTTTCTTCTTTCAGAATTTCAATAGAAAAGCTAATCTAACCTGCCCAGGAAGACTGAGGAATCTGAGCCTTACTGAGGCCACAGAGCAAGCTTGCATTTGTCTGTCGACCCTGAACAAGACACATGATTCTCCTGGGGCCCTGGAACCTGGTGAAGGGTAGAATTTTTCCTCTTGGGGCTCTGGAGGCTGCATCTGGGGTATGGCGACAGAGATGCACCACGCATTGCTTTATTGATATTTTCAAGTGAGGCCCACGATTTAAACAACAACAATGGGAACAGGTGCCACTGGATCCCAACGAAAGCTGGACTCTGTGCCCTGATATTCCTCACGGCCTGCAACAAACACCATTTTGTTCTCTTGCCATTTCTCTACCTATTTAGAGCCACGTTTGGGAGATTTGTTTTCTCTTCCCAAAGGGTAGACAGTATCATATTAGTCTCAACTTTAGACCACAGTATAAAAGTATGACAAGGCCTAGAAACAAGTTCATACCAAGAGAAATCCTGGAATAGTGCCCTCTGAAACCAACTTTATTGGTGCTAGTAGACATGTCTCGAAGTCGTGAGGTCAGGGCTGGGCACACAATATTCAGAGCTGTCCTAGTTGCTTGGCAACTTGACCCAGGCCAGGATCATTTGCAAAGAGGGGACTTCAACTGAGCAAATGCCCCATCAGGTCTGTGGGGTGTTTTCTTGATCATGATCGATGTGGAACAACCAAGCCCAGTGTGGGCCGGCGGTCCTGGGTTATATAAGAAAGCAGGGTGAGCAAACCACAAAGAGCAAGCCAGTAAGTAGCCCCCCTTCATGTCCTCTACCTCAGCTCCTGCCTCCTGGTTTCTGCTTGAGCTCCTGCCCTAGCAACCTTCCTACACGATGAACCGAGGTTGGGATGAGTAAGCCCAAATGAACCCTTTCCTCCCCAAGTGGCTTCTGGTCATGGTGTTCTACCACTGCCATAGGAACCTAATTATGTCAAGAGCACAACAGGAAAATATGGAACTTGAGCTGGGCAGTGGTGGCACATGTCTTCGATCCCAGCACTCGGGAGGCTGAGACAGAGTTTGAGGTCAACCTGGTCTACAGAGTGAGTTCCAGGACAGTCAGGGCTACATAGAGAAACCCTGTCTCTAAAAATAAACACAAGAATAAAAAATAAAAACACGATAATATAGAACTTGTTCAAAAATCAGGGAAATCATATCACTAATAATCCTAAACTATAAAAATTTTACCTGGGACATGACTACAACCAAGTACTTGGAAGGTTAAGGGAAGAGGGTTATGAGTTCAAAGCTAGCTCTCCTCATCTAACCTGGTCTATATAGTGAGTTTAGGGATAGCCAGCCTGGTACACATAGGCGCTCAAAATTAGCCAGTATAGTCTATATAGTGAGTTCAGGATTAGTTGGT